TTTAGTATATGGCCAAACTTGAAGCTATTAGTTCCAATAGGAAAGCAAAAGTCCTGGTTTTTGAGACACCCTGTACTATAGGGCCTGTAATACATCTATCGAGATAACACCTATTCTGATCGTATCCCATTTCCTGACCCGGTTTCGCTAGTCGAATCGAACCGAATTCAAATCAGCTTGATGCTTTTACGGTAAAAGCATCAAGCTGATTTAAATTCGAACTGTAAGAGCTATATTTCGCATTTGGTAAAAGTTTTACCAAATGCGAAATATAATTAGTGTCATCACTAGTAGTTGCCTGAGAATCGTAAACTCCCTGTGAGTTCCTGCATTATACGCCAATTAATGCACAGTTTTGAGCTCGATAAATTCCCGTTGCTGCGCACAATTTCATGACTATGTCACGTGAGGCTATAGTCTGATCCTTACAGAGCGTTTGGGTAGAAACACCTTGGCCGTGTTATGTGGTTTACATGCCTATTGCCGGTTCTAAGTTCGTACTTCTAGGAGCCGAGTTATCGACTAAGATAGAATTGTTGCCGATTGTGAGTAAATACTAAGGAAAGGCTCAATGAGCCGGTTTTGGAACTCTGGAGCGATTTTGGAGCCGCATTCTACACGTAAGAGTCTTACCCGTGGTTGATTTGGAGTATCAGACTTGGCTAATTCTCAATAAATCTAGTCTAAAACTTGATTCACACGTGGAATCATATAAATGTCGATCGACTTAGTTTACTGTAAGTTGGTACAGCTTTCCTTGTCACTAGTGGGAAATGCTTTCCAGTTCCTTATCCATTACCAATGTTGCGTCAGTCCTCAGCGGCCTTATACGGTATCCGAGCTCACCCGTACACCCCTCCAGGGCGTAAGAGCTGGTCTAAGCAGCACCTCAAGTTGCGGACACCTCGACCGTTAACTGATAGATTCACGTAATAATCTGATTGGATGGTAGCTCTCGTGAGTGAATGTATCTATGATATCTTTATGAGCTATTTAGACATGTGGCATAGCTGCCCCATAGAGGAATAGGTTGTACTAAGGTATATCTTGGGGTGGCATAACTGCCCCATAGAGCAATAGGTTGTACTAAGGTATATCTTGGGGTGGCATAACTGCCCCATAGAGCAATAGGTTGTACTAAGGTATATCTTGGGGTGGCATAACTGCCCCATAGAGGAATAGGCTGTATTAAGGTATATCTTGGGGTGGCATAGCTGCCCCTGGAAAAGCTCACTACCTATTGTGACACACCTACCAACAGTGATCTTCATTGGACGTTTTTACACTACCATAATCGTTTGGTATCTGCACTGATGCATAAGTAGCCTGACTAGTATGGGGGATGTAGTAACGGAAGCTCGGAACCCTCATTTGTAGTATAAATGACGTGTATTGCATTCCATCCACAGAGGGAGTATGTGGTAGAATCCTTCATCCGCTGGAAGAGTTGCTCGCTAGTAACAGAGTCTACCATCACTGTTTGGCTGAGCCGAATCGGCTCTTGAGTGAACTGTCGTCCCTCCTATCTTATCTCTGTCTTCAGAATGGGCAACTTACATCCGAATAAGGAATGGTGGCGAGAACGCCGTGTCGCTCCGCCCACATTCATGGGCTTCCCTGATGTTGCTAAAATTGAGCTGCGTGGGGGAGAGTTATACGCTGAGAAGATGGATGGTAAGTAGCCCATGCTCCGTCCTGGATCATAAAGTTTGCTATAGCCCCCACTGTGGCCATCATTATGGCGAAGTGTCTGAAGGATGACATAGGAGCACCCGGTATCTGGAACAAGCTGGTGTGGCGGGCACAGCATCTAGCGTGTCAGTCGACTGAGCCGGAGATATGCTACATATGGAGAGCTGTTAGTCAAAGAGATTGGTAGTAGCTTGGAATTGTCCGTTTACGATTCGAGCGTAATTGTAACTCGACGAGTTGGATTATATGTTCTTGGGGAGTGCTATGCGTGGAGACTGTGCCGACGTAGAAGTAGATCTCAGTAGCTGACCCTGAGTACTAGGTACGACTCGCATTTTGTGGCCACCTTCCTCGGCCGTTTGGACCGTCGGTTGCCGATGTTTGCTATACATGACTGCAGTATTGCTCTGGAAGGGTTCATCAATGACAAATTCAAGAACGAAAGGTTGAAGATGCGAGTCGGGTGAGGATGACATTTTTTGTTTCCGAAGATACGAGCGACGTATCTTGGATCAAGTTGAGCTTCTGCTAGTCAATCGCGATGATTTTCGAGTGGATGGTTTATGCAAACTTGCCAGAAGTAATACATGGGAAGAACTTCAGTGGTTGGAATACTCATATGTCTGTTGTTTATTCATAATCCCTGTAAATTTTTTGGATTTTTCGATCTTTTTTTTATTTTTTCTTGCAGGGCTGGGGCCCTTGATTGTGGAATGACATTCAGCGTCTACTAGCCGTAATTTCATTGGTGACCGTTAGCTTCAGTTTTTATTGCGAACCATTTTTCAAGGGCTCATCCTCTTTGTGGTTGGCAGGTCTATATAAATACGCAGAAGGCGGGCCGTTAGTGGCAATAGAAGCAGTAGAAATGCTCATGTCCAAGATTGCAGCTCATCTAATGGAAAGGGACCTCACTGTAAGAATTGGAATTACATGACGCGGCGGTCATCTCTCGCAGGAAACTGACCGATCACTGTTGATCGATACGTCTGAGGCCATGGCATGGCGTGTCAGAAGAGGAGCTAATAATAGTAGGAGGAAGCAGGATCCTTCAGTCACACTGGTACTCACTCTGACTGCAAGAGAAATCATCTCCTAGAGCATGCAGCTCATCTTCATGCGTTTACGAATGGTCATGTTATTGTCTGTTCCTGGGATCCCCTTCGACCTCGCCTCAGTCCTGTTACGGTGATGACATCGTTTCATCGGTCATTCAGAAATCGCGTGTTTATCGGATTTTGCGTTAAATTGTTTTTGCATACACATACACAGCTGTTTCATTTACATTTTTGCGTTACGTCTTGCAGCATGAGATGCTACGATAACACCGTAGTTTGTAGTTAGCGTTGGACTGGGGTCGACTAAGTCATCGATTCCATTTTCTGATCAGCTGCGGACCATGCTAAGAGAATTAATGATGACCCGACCGGATGACACGCCGTTCACTGAAGAAGAACAGAGCAAGATTCAGAAGGCTACTGAGGCGCTACGCTGATTCACCCATGAGTGTGGAAAAGTGTTTCTGATGTTTCCGTCTTGTGTTGTAAGTCCTGACCGTGGACGATGATTCGATGGCAGCGTAGCATAGGGTACTACGGTTGCCAAGGTAGAATCGGAACATTAGATTGTCGTACAGGTGTTCGGGTTGCTGAATTGAGTCGTAGATGTTGTGGGATCATCTGTAGAGTATCGATATAGTGATTCAGGAACATCGGTGAGTTGCTCGACTGTCTTGACTGTATTATGTTCTTCCCTGCGACTGGTGCAGTATAGCTGCATGCATTCAAATTGTTACTGAAGTAACTCTAACGATAGGGGCATTCAACGACAGGCATCAAAGGCAGTGAAGCATGATAGTTGCCATCAACACTAATATAAAGGAGTGACAGCATAAACTTGAGCCAAAACCTGATCGTGGACCATTCTCAATCGGCCGTCTTTGGAAGAAGCGCAACGTATCATCACAGTGAGTGGCTATCATAGGCCTCTACAGATGAATAAGACCAAACCACTCGAAGGTGGATGACCGGTCAACATAGTGAATGTAATGTTACCTTCCTTGCAAGAATTGAAGGTTGAGTCGCCTCGATTGACTTGGGTTGATCTTGGCCGCTCTCTATGGCCTAGATGAAATCCAATAACAGTGTGACGACTCTGTCTAGGTGAACCCACTTCAGAAAGGAGTCCCCGTAGATACTTGAGTTCTGTTAATATCAACGGCTCCGGTTGGATCTGAACACATTCGAACCAAAATTCCCCATAATGATCACAGACATCCGCATATGAAGTCCTTACAAATTAGACATTTTCTAGAATCATTCTATCGCATGATGTAGGAGCCTACGAATGCTGAAGACCTTTTCTCGCGCAACTATGGGATTTACGTGGTTACACGAGACAACTTCTCCAATCATCCACTTGCAGGCTGTATCGTCGTGCCAGGCACATGGTTGAAAACAGTAGGATGTCGTGATGGCCACGACGGTGTTATTTGAGATCAAAACTTACGAGTCTATCAAGGTCACTTGTACTGTTATAATTTATACAGCGACATGAAAGAAATTATTATCAAGAGCTACTCCGCCTCACAGTCAGACTGACGGTTGACCTATTATCGAACTCACCTGCTTGTTTGTGTATGAGCGTCGCTGCTGAGACAAACGTCGGTGGTCACCGAGAAAACGTGAAGTAAATCGGCAGGGACGGAATGGACGGACAGGAAGCGTATAGTTCGGCAGCGCTATTGAGTTCATCTGAATCCGACCCGGGGGTACATGCTACGTAACTTCTGTTCACAACCATTACCATCTGTTCACGGGCGTAGTTGCACATTTCGTGAAGCATAGAGACCTCTGTAAAGCAGAGGTCTTTGGATTTTCGGTCAATCTCATGTCTAGCCACTTGCAGTAAAGTTGAATGTACCTGTCTTCCGTGTAGTTCCTCAGCATGGTCTCATTAACCTACTATTATCTCCCAAGCCTCGGGCGGTGGCGATGGATCATCAACTGAAAAAGGAAGTAGTGCAGTTCACGAGGGAGATTTTCTTCAATCTGAGAATCGGCTCAATACCGTAACAAGTTGTGATGAAATATGACACGCTAACGGTCGAATATGATTCGGCGATTGAGCGAATGCCGGAAAATGAATGCAGTTAAGAAACAGTGAGCATTTAATGCTGCATGGAACGCTCCTTATCTACAGAGGATGTAAGAGTAGTCAACTGCCTCACAGGCACTCAACGTGAGTGACTTGAGGGGATAGGGTCGGGTGGCTTGGCTCACCAAGGACAAGTTCAAGGATGGGCAAGGCCTTTCGCCAGATGTGTTCTTGTATCCTCATGCAGTGCGTCTTGGGGATGAATCCCTGGCCTATGATGGGTGATGGAACATGGGGTTGCATTGGTAGGAGTGGTAACACACGTATAGGGCCTGGTAGGACATGAAGAAACACCGACGTTCTTAAATACAGTTCTAACGTTCCAACCTGACATTATATGTAGTCACACTGAGGGAGCACTAGCAAGTTGCAACGCGCCACAAAATTCGAATCGAAACGAGTGCGTCACAAGCGCTCCAGAAAACTGTAGTCAGTGTGGCCAAGCCAGTCAACTACGCATCGGAGTAACGTACTTCGTCATCATAGCTCAAGTGTAGTGGAGCAGACCTGTGCTTCGAGACAAGAGCATCTTGCATCCGCCTTGTGAGGAGACGCCTGCACTGTCTCGTCTACTGCAACGACGACCCCAACAACAGACTGCATTTCTAAGCCCCTTTTGACGAGGTGGAATTGCCCTGGAATCTTTTACCTGTGGATGCCTGTCGAGTGGCAGCAACGGCATATCTGCCCCAAAATGGATTCGGCCTTCTAACAGCAAATCTAATTCTGTAATTCGCCTAAATTGGGCATGATGCGGTTGCTCCGGTGGAACTCGTCGTCCTATGATATGTGGCTGGAAAATGGGTTGTATTGATGCATTTCTTGGGATGGCATAGCTGCCCCATTCGAAAAAATGTTGATCGTGGTAGAGCATATCTTGAAGTGGCATAGCTGCCCCACCCGGGAAAGTTGATCGTGGTAGAGCATATCTTGAAGTGGCATAGCCGCTCCACCCGCAAAAGTTGATCGTGGTAGAGCATATCTTGAAGTGGCATAGCTGCCCCATTCAGGGAGTTCCGAAGGACAAATATATGCCTTTGGTAGATTGTTAATTCTGTTGAGAAATATTAACTACATTATTTAGAAATCGAATGGGGCCGTTATGCCCACGGGTCCGGAATTATGGCAATTATTCGATGTCGAGTGAATATCTCTCTTTGCCTGTATGAAATCCTAGTGCTCTGGCATAGCGACCCCATTTGCCAATCCCCCTTTACTCGAATAGGAATCTTCCCTGTGCGTAAGATACGGATTAGCTCCGCTGTCGACCTCGATTGCGTGACCTTTGGACACATCAACTTTGGACATAAAGTTGTCGAAAGCCCTTTGGACAGCAAGGGATGTCAAAACGAATCTCATGACTAAGTTTTGGACAGTCTGTCCAAAAACTACCTAAGGGAGTAGTTTGGACATGAAGTTGTCGAATATTTTTTTTTCATCAACAAGTTGTCCAATTACGCCTGTAGCGACCTTTGGACAGCTTTCTGATCAATTGGACATGTTTGGACAATATTTAGTAATCTGGACTACAATGTGTCGGAATGTGGCACAGATTACCTTTGGACATCTGTCTCGAATGCGCTCGCCCATAAATGTTTCAAATTTATCTGACAATGCAAATTCCTGATAGTTCCTTAATAGTATTAGCTTTCGATGAGGCTATTAATTTTCTTATTTTTGCGACACGAGAGATGAATCAGCTCAGCTGATAAGATGAGATGGCGATGTTAAAAAAACCAAAAAAACCAAAAAACAGCGGAGATGGACTGGTCACCCTCGCCGACTATCGAAGACCTCAAAAGCCGCTGATGTGTGCGAAGCATTGGCTGGCCGCCTAGCCGAAATCGGCTTCGAGTGAGGGAGAGAGGGAATCTTTTAGTCGGTGTTGTTTTTGCATTATGGCTGAGACTGCAGTAAGGATAGTGTACCGGCATTTCCTACCATGTGAGAGCGTGGATGAAGTTGATTGTGCTATTTGTCTTTTACCTGGCGATGATCTAGATGCAGTCCGTGGGGCTATGATTCAATGTGATGGGTGTCGAAAATGGTATCACTGTTTATGTAGTGGTGTTCAAAACGGCGCTGCTACTGCTACTATGACAATAAGGGCATGATACTGTGTATCAATGTGGCTGACTCTCGGTATGAGATAGGAGATGGAGAGCTAAGTGAGAACCGTGATGATAGCGGACGATCATTCTAAGTATTTCGAAATAGAAGGATCGAAACTTTAATAGTCATTTGTCGTATCAGCTGCTCTAACACAGCATGTCTATTATTTCGACTCGTTGCGAAGCTGTAAGTATTCGTAGCATTCCGAAGTATCTTATGTTATTTATTGTACTCGAGGTATTTGGAGGTAGAACTCCTATCCAATAACAAAGTCTGTAATGCAATCAGTTTACATCAGTATTATCAATTTTCATCAGCCGTAATCAATCCTTCTCCTGATCGTTATGAGTTGAGTTTATACATTACTCGCTAACTTATGGAGAGATTAGTGAGATTATCCGTGAGATTATCAAACTCCCATTCCCGTTCCCAGTAGGAAAATAACCAGATATACCGTTTTAAATGCCCTTATCATGTTGTGTTTCAATATTCACGATCTAACAATGTTATTATCGAACACAATACAAGTGCAACGTGGAATGATTCTACTAGAATCAGGTGCGGACCAATAGTCGACTGCCATTTCGCACCAGAAGTGTATATCACACTAAACTCAACACAGAAATCTATGCAAACCTCAACGCTCAAAATATCGCGGGAGACAGACGGTGTAAAAAATCGGTGTGTACACGCTTCATCAACTATGCTCAGCTATGGATCATAGCCAATGACTGACTTAAAGAGCTTGTGTTGTATACTTACATCACGTGTATGAACTCGCATGTTAATCCCGAGAATCCCGAGTCTACCGATATCCGAGTCGGATAATCCGAGTGAGTTCAGTACATGATGTAATTGTTCTAGGGCGGAAGAGGTCTCGAGACTTGCGAATCAGGAGGAGTCCCACGAAGAAACTATCCCTAACCGCCAGACTTCTCCAAACAATCATTCCACTGAATCTAGTTAGAAATATTGAATGAATTACAGCCGTTAAACATTCGCACGATAAATCCGTCCTCAGTTGCCTCGAAGGTTATGACTCCTAAATGTTCAATGAGATCTAGTAAATCTGATTTACATCCGTGTGTGATGAGTAAACATGTTCGCCCAAACGTGCGTGCCTTTATATGTAGTGTTGTATCAAACAATTTGCTTACAATTGCAAGGTACGGGACCGAAAGACATATGCGACATATGCGTTTGAAGATAAACTGTTGAAGCTTTGCAATCAATGTGATCCAAACGTAATTGTGTGCCATCGGTCATCTATGCTAATATCGCTAAGTGTGAAAGCTTCGAGATTGCAAGATAGCGTTATCAACTCACCATGAACTGTCCAAAAGTGCCAACGACAAGCTTTGGACAAGTTTTCGAGGGAAATGCAGACAAATCCACCTTTGGACACCACTTGGACAAGATGTTGTCCAAAAGAGGCTGGATGTCCTTCTGGACATGTCGACACGTATTTGTTGTCCAAAAAACCTGTCCAAAGATCACCCATGGTGTTGCTTTCGACATTTCCTGTCCAATTTGTACATTTTCGGGCGAGCGCCACTACGTTTCAAGTTGTCGAAACATAGCCCATGGGTTGAGTAATGGACACCTTGATAAGCATTTAACTTTGGACAAGAAAGTTGATGTGTCCAAAGAAGCGCTTACGGTCGACCTCTACTATTCACTAAATCATGTGCTGCAATTCTAATAGGAATCTTACCTGTGCGTAAGATACGGATTAGGTCCGCTGTAGACCTCTACTATTCACTAAGTCATGTGCTGCAATTCTAATAGGAATCTTACCTGTGCGTAAGATACGGATTAGGTCCGCTGTAGACCTCTACTATTCACTAAATCATATGCTGCAATTCTAATAGGAATCTTCCCTGTGCGTAAGATACGGATTAGGTCCGCTGTAGTCCTCTACTATTCACTAAGTCATGTGTTGCAATTCTAATAGGAATCTTCCCTGTGCGTAAGATACGGATTAGGTCCGCTGTGAACCTAGGCCGAGTTATCCTGTCATACGCTAGCGAGTTCTCTCTCTATGTACGGTTTTTGTTATAAAATGTCTTCAAGTTCAGCACGTACATCTCGAACCTTTTCGGGTACAGTGGCTGACATTCTGCGGCCGGTAACCCGAATTATTTCATCCACTACTGAGGTTACTAGTGACACTGAAGAAGCTGCTGAGGTAGTAATACGCTCTCTTGAGATTTCGCCCGACTCGGACAGTGTTGTAATATATGTTCGCTTTCCTCAGCTGACCCTAGGAGTTTCCTCACTCATTATAGGAGTTCATATACGAACTAGGGTAGAAATGTACAGAAACCAACAAGAATTTTGCAAAATTTCCTCAGAATTTCCATATTGTCACCAACATATGTGGTTTACCATGTGCATGTCCCCCCCTACACACTGTGTCTCAGTGTATGTGGTAAAGTCGTCATGACAGAGTCCTTGTTCACAGCTAGGGTGGTTAACACTGCTAATAGACCTAGTTTTGTTCGAGCCGCGGTGTCAGACTTGTATCATGATGTTTCTGTAGGTAGTTCGGCGGCTTATACGTTGCGAGGAGCACATGGGCTTTCTGGAGGGTATTGGCTCGCTAAAGATGAGGAAAGATCTCGAGGAGATATGCAGGGCTTCTTATGAGGGTAGACGCTGTAGAGAGGCTATGATGGAGGTACTGCGGTTTGAACCTGTGCCTTCTGATTGTTATTCTCAGCCTTTATCGTGGGGACTAAGTCGGTCGGCGTCGTGGAGGGAGAGCTATTGTAGCCTGTTGGTATTAGAGGCGCTCGCTTCCACTGGCAGCAAAGAGCTGTGGAAAGAATGCTCAGTTGGCATCCACTTCGACGTTACACAGCGTTTAGTGGTGAGCATCACTTCGAAATCAAGCGTTTACTTGTATCGTTCGGTGTAGTTGTTCAATCATTACACCAGTAGTGATGATCCTCGCGTTACGCGGATGATGAGAGCTAAAGCGGCGGAGGTTCGGGACTTAGTTATGGAGCGTTATAGAGACGCTGAAGAGATCATCAGGAAACACGGCTCTCCAATAGTAAGGCGTAACGGCTATCACAAAAAAGGACGATGTAATGGAACGTAGAGTGTGTGTATGAGGTTAGAGAAGTCATCATCCTAGGTAGCGGCCCGTTGACATCGGTTTCCTCTAGTAGCTCGGGAGAGTCTCCTGTGAGAGGCAGAACTCAGAAGGGCTATATCAGTAGTTACGGGTTTCGACGGCCTCATCTGGTTTATACTACGTATGGAGTTGTATTTGTATGTTGAGTTTAGGACGCATTAATAGAATTGATTGAGAGCGGCAAGGACTTACTCAATCGTCTTGCGAGGGTGTGAATGATGTTTTCTGTCATTCACAATGGCGTGGAGATTTCACTCATATCATCGGAGTTCCACAACTACCCGTTTTACGTGAAGTGGCGTCGTAAAACTCGTCGTGATATGTTATTCCGTGTATCCAGATATTCGTCGCCGATCGTCACCAGATCGCCTCCATAGTAACGGAGTGAATGTTGTATCTAGGGATAGCGTCTGCCCTGTAGTTTCACCTAATAATGATGATGGTAAGGTACTCTGCTTTCACGACCTCTTTATCGAACTACAAGCACTTTCCCATCCTTTTAGGTTTCATACAAGGGTTGGCTCGGCCAAGTTTCGCGATTGATACCTCTGAAAGTGAGAGCTCTTCCTGCTGCTGCTGCTCACCTGTGAAGTCCCAGCCTTGTGATAGTGGCGATCTTTTGGATCTCCGTACCCACAGCGAGATGATAAAGTAAGAGAGGGGGCTACCTAGTAAGTGAATATCTTCAGATTTTCTGAATTTCGCGAAATTTTTTACTCTGTTTTCTCTCTCCGGACATCCGCGTGCCTATGTCGGGTATGCTTGTCTTGAGCTTCAGATGCTCTCCTGGGACTCCAACAACGAGTCATACGTCCTCGTCTGTGCCCTGTAGTATTACTACTACCACCGACAGCGGCGGCGGCGGCGGCGGTCCGGTAGATCTGTTGTAATTTGCATGCACAACTCGGTGTTAGTTTCTGCAAAGCTCAATGCTCTCGTAAGAATCATTTTCTTACTATTCGCGATTGTTAGTATTATACTCGAGGTGGTTTAGTTTCAGAGTCATGTTAATGGGAGGTACTTTTCGTAATACGTCAGACTTTGATCACTATCATGGATTTCACGCGGTGTTGGAGGAATATATGTTCGCTTTGCTTTTTTTGAGTTTTTTCAGCAATTATAGGAGTTTTCATACTAGTCTGGGTAGAACTGATAAGAATTTCCCCAAATTTCCTCAGAATTTTAATGTTGTCTTCACCGACATATGTATTGTTCATATTGATTTCACGTCACGAGGAACTCAACGTCAGAAGGCTCCTGAGTGGGGCTATTGGGCTCTCACATATTCGAATATTTGTATAGTCGTTGAACATCCCATTTCTGGTGAAGAGCCGAAGTAACAAGACGCTCAGAATCTGAATAACACTAAGTGCGGTACTTACTTATCGTATTCACGAATGGCAAATTTGTAAAGAAATTTCGGGAAAAACTACCGGAGTAAACTGAGTGGCCAGATTTATAGGAAGAAACGCGCTGATCCATATAGCGTTAGTTTCGCTTTAGAAAATCCCGTTGAAGAATTATAACTAGTCGAGTATTTTAGTCTGTAATTGATCGCTACTGTATAGTTGTTATCAGCTAGGTTCAGACTAATGTTCCAACACTCCCTATTCCTGCTAGTGATCATCGTGACAGGGGAACTTTATCAACCCTACGTCTTTTCTGAGGCTGAGAGAGGAAATGCTCGAGGGAAAGTAAGACGACACGTATCGTATGGGGAAGTACTGTAAGGCTATTGAAATAGCATCAGAGGGATGTCTTGAAAGGCAACAGTGTGAATACACTTTAGAGATGTAGACTATCTCCATCACATTGTGTGCTGCTGCGGTGGAGTGGGACAGTAGCGATGATAGTTATGAAGCATGAGCCTTACATGTAGGTGGTTTTGGTAACGGGTGCTGCTGGATTCATCGGCTCACACGTTGCGAAGCATTGCCGTGATCTTGGAATGGAAGTTGTGGCAATTGACGACCTCAGTGGTAAGTAAATTTGAAAGATACGGGGCTTTCTCAGTGGAGTTTCACAACCCGTTTTACGTGAAGTGGCGTCGTAATACTCTGTGAAAAACGCGGTGATATGCAGTAGTCGTGAAATATATTTTTTTCATATCACTAGGGCCGCCCGTGAAACTCCAGAGAATGACAAGTGAAGTTTTAGTGCAGTATTTCCTTGCTCTCCTCAGCTGATCTCGGAAATATCCTTAGTAATTATACAAATTCGAGTAAGAGTGTAATACAGAAAACAAGAAGAATTCCCCGAAAATTTTCTCAGAATTTCCATATTGTCATCACCAACACATGTAGTTGACCATGTGCATATCCCCCTCTCACACTACACAGGTGGCTTCACATCGAATGTGCCTGCTGGGGTTACTTTCTTGAGACGTGATGTTAGAGATGCAGAGAGTATGGAAAGCCTATTCGAGAGGTACCCGGTTCGAATCCAGGGGGTCCTATTTTACCGTGTTAGATACAAGTTTGACTATGTTTATCATTTAGCTGCTTATGCTGCGGAGGGTCTGTCGCACTTCGTGAGGAGTTTCAACTACAGAACAAATCTTGTTGGAAGTGTTGAGATTCTGAATGCCGCTATTCGGCACAAGGTTGGTGTGCTTTGCCCGATACTGTAATCAGCGTTGGAGAAATATATATTCACTTTCCTCAGCTGAGCTTAGGAGTTTCCTTAATAGTAATAGAAGTTCACATACGAATTGGGGAATTCCGCGAAATTTCCTCCCAGAATTTCCATATTGTGACCAACACATGTA